CAAACTGCAACCCCAAAACCACTTATTTATCACCAAGAGCAGTTAAACCTGAATTTACTTTAGGTTTTAGTTTAGGGAAAAAAAACATTAATATCTTTAGACTTAAAAGAAAAAACAATAATATATGTGCCACAGGTCCACTACCACTGGGCTAAATACTGTCTAATCTCTCTCCTGAGTCCAACCACATCCCAGACACCTCTTGTCCCTTAGGCTCCTCACATGCAATGTTTTCCTAATTATCTCTCTGTGAACCTAGACCTCTGCCCCCCCCATCTCAGGGAATAGCCACAACCTACACCTAGACGACTAATTGGGAAATCTGGGAGTTGTTCTGACCCCTCCCTCACTCCCACCCCTAAGCAGTCATGAGGTCTCACAGACAGAACCTCCCAACAGCTCTCCCCACCCACCTGCCCCTTGCGTGGTGAGGGCCCATCTCCTCCCACCTGCATCAACTGCAGCTTGGCATCCTCTGCCTCATCCACACTGCAGCCAGAACTGCCTCCCCAACGCACATGCTGTATCTTTCACTCCCACTTGACACCCCCAGCAGCCTCAGCAAAAAGGCCAAGCCCCAAAGGGAGACACTCTAGGCCACCAGTGATGTAGATCTTGTTAACCTGTCCAGCTCCAATGTCCACCCACTGCCCTCCCCTGCACTGGGCAGTGTGAATCCCAGCCACAGGTGATCCCTAGGAGCTCAGTACCTCCCTCCACTCCCTGCCTTTGCACCAAGCTTCTGGCTCCTGGGCTGCCTTCCGCACCTTGGCTCTTCCCCCTCCAGACTCAGCCCCATACCACCTCCTCCAGGAGGACCTCCCCCGTGCTGCCCAGCAACCTTCTCCACTCACAGGATTCATCAGAAAAATTTGTTTTTGTCTGTTTACCTATCCAACTCCACTAAACCACTTCCCCCCAGGACAGTACTAGGCCTTTCTCCTCTCGGGATCCTGGCCTAACACAGGTTCCTACCGAGAGGGTGCCCTGAGCAGGTTCACTGAATGTCTGAAGGAATGAATGGCAAATTCTACCACCCACAGGATGCTTCCTGAAGAGTTCTTGCGGGACAGCCAGTCCTAAGCAAACCCAGGTACCTGTTAGAAGCTTCCTCTCCCAGCGAGCTGGTATGGTTTCAAGTTTTAAACATCCCACTCCAAAGTCCCAGGGAGCAAAAGAAAATCTGGAAGGATCATAACAGAAATCTCCTTCCCAAGTCTAAAACTACAGTAAAGGCAGGAAGACATAAATGCATCAGACCTGAGTGCTTTTCTGAGTAGTTTTCCTGAGATTCAACCTGGAGGGCAGCGCTGGCACACCTGCAGCTGTGTGTACATTCTGTGTCTATTTGTAGGCACATAAATGTGCAACATATGCATGCAGGAGCACATGGGGGGCTGCATAATTGTGTTGGTCCATTCAGATCCTCTTCAGTGAAGAAAAGGCCATTCCTTGGCATATAATGTGCAGGGGCCCTTGTCCAAGTCCAGAACCCGTGAAACCCATTCCACTTAGCAAATTAAAACACGGCAGCCCCACTGCCTCAATGAATGCTCCAGCCACCTCCGCACCAGTCGTGCCCTCCAGTGGGACCTAACCTGTCCCCAGAGCCACGCCTGCTTTGGAAGGGCAACTCTGCAGTTGCTTTCAGACCTCCCAGCTCATGGATTCATGCTTGATTACTTCTCCAAGCCAGGCACCCAGTGCGGGGCTTCTGCAAGGAACCCTGAGAGCTTGCGGGTCTAGCCACGTGGACGTGGGCTTGCTAGGAGACTGCCCCGTGACCGGTGTGCACCCCAGTGCTCCCCTAAAGCTAGTGTATGGGCAGCCTGCACCCGCCTGACCCCTGCCCTGGCCGGACCGGCCGCCGCAGCTTCCGGTGAGCCGCCCTGGGGGAAGTGGCTCAAGTGGTGCGATACAAACTAAGGAAGCCCCTGTCCTCCGCAGCGAGCCGAGCCGCCTCCGCCCCCACAAGCCCCAAGAGCTAGGTCCGCTTCCTACACCCTAAATCCCGGCAAGCCTGGCGCACAGGGAAGCTCCACCCAAGAACCTGGCCAGACTGTGCTCCGCAGCTTGTGCTACAGCCTCCCAAAACTCTCCCCCTTTTAAAGTTCCCTCCTCTACGTGTTGAGGACTCGCTGTCCCTGACTGCAAAAGCAAGGGCCGCTAAACACTGTCCAGGATTTCCTCCTGCCCTGCTTCCACCTCCGTCAGAAATATCATTCAATCTGGACCAATTCACACTCAAGTGTCAATGACTAAAAATGTTGAATGTGTAATCCTTTATGAAGAGCAAACCTTCACCTAAAAGAAAGCAGCTCTAGACATTTATCAGACAAAGAAGTAAAAGCAGCAAATAAACATATGGAAAAATGTTCCACATCACTGGTCATTCGAGAAATGCAGATGAAAATAATACAGAGATTCCTCCTCACCCCACAAAGAATAGCTGCTATCAAGAAATCAACGGATAACAAATGCTGGTGGGGTTGTGGGGAGGAACTCTTCTCTGCTGGTGGGAGTGCAGACTGGCGCAACCACTGTGGAAATCAGTATGGAGATATCTCAACCAAGTAGGACTAGAAGTCCCATTTGACCCAGCTATTCCTCTGCTGGGTATCTTCCCAAAAGAATTAAAAGAATCACGAAATCATCTGCTTCCTGATTGACTATTTTGAGTCCCATTGTCAGAAATACAAGAAAAATCTCTCATTTATATTGCCCATCCTTGCCAGTCCTACTTCAGGGAAATCAAGATTGATCATTAATGTTTTTCTTTATGAATAGTTTAGTTAATTCATGAAGAGCGATCAGATTAAAGCATCACTGCTTTGCAAACCCTAATGAATAAAGGCTCTAGGCAGTGATCCTTAGTGACTGTTAAAATGTAAAAGAAAAATAACTCAAACAATAGAATGTCCTGAAGGAACTACACTGCACTATGAATGTAATGTTCTTGCCAAAACAGCAACTCTACCCTATCAAGCTTCTAGGTCTACTTTTAGTCAGCTTTCCATCACGATAACAAATACCTGATATCACTCAATTTAAAAGAAGTAAATGTTTATCTTTGCTCACAGCTTTGGAAGTTTCAGCCCATGGTCAGTAGGCCCTGTTGCTTTGGGCCTATGGCAACACAATATGTCAAGGCAGAGATCATGTGACAGAGGAAGTCAGAATACCTCCTGGTGGTGGCCAGGAAGCAAAAAAAAGGGAGGAGTGGGCCAGAGTGTGGATACGGTCTGTGCAAGCACAGCCCCAGTGACATAGCCTCCTCTCATTAGGCCCCACCCATTGAGCCTGGGCTCCTGCCTAATAGTGCCACTGGCTGGGGACCAGACTTTTAGTACATGAGTCTTCAGTTCACACTTTAGGTCCCAAAGATAGTATCTACCAATGTAACTGCAGAGAACAGAGCATGTTAAGGAGTGCTACAGGGAGGTAGGCAGCAAAATCTAGTCATGAGAGACTACAGGGTAATGGCCCACTTTTGTTGACAGATTCATTACAAGAAGCGGGGGGAAAAAGGCCAGGCGTGGTGGCGCACGCCTGTAATCCAAGCACTCGGGAGGCTGAGGCAGGAGGATGGCTGTGAGTTTGAGACCAGCCTGGGCTACATAGTGAGTTCCAGGTCAGTCTCAACTACATAGTGAGACCTTGTCTCAAAACAAACAAACAAACAAACAAACAAAACAAAGAAGGGGAAAAAAGGAATTAGGTTAAGTAGATTAAAACAGACACATTATCCAAATGTAACATATAAATCTTATTTGGACACTGATTCAGCAAACAAACTATGAAGTATTTTTGAGAAAAGAAAATTCAAACATTAACTGGATATTCAATATACTAAAAAGTCACTCTATTTTTATGTATGATAATGATATGGTAGCTATGCTTTTCAACTGGGCCTATATTGTATGAACGTAACATTAAATATTTACAAATTAAGTAATAGATATGATGTCTGTGGTTGGCTTCAAAATAATCTAGTAGAAGGCAGACATGAGACACACATCTATAATCATAGCACCTGGGAGGCTGAGGAAGGAGAATCATAGGTGTTTGAGGTCAGCCTTGTCTACAGAGTAAGTTCAAGGCCACCCTGAACTACATAGTGAGATCCTGAAAAAAGAAAGAAGAGAGAGAGAAGGAAGGAAGGAAACAAACAGAGAGAGAGAGATAATCTAGTGGAGAAGGGGTGAAGAAAGGGGTGGAGTAGCAGAGGAAACCAGGTAGGAGCTCAGTGTACTATTCTTCAATATTACAAGTCTAAAATGTGCCACAATAATGGGTTAAACAGGAAGCTGGGTGGGGATTAGCTCAAGGGTAGAGCATTTTTGCCTAGCTTGCACCAGGGCCAGGTTTCAATCCCACTACCACAGAAGAAGAAGAAAAAGAAGAGGAGGGAAGAAAGGGGAGGGAAAAAGAGGGATTGGTGGAGGAAGCAGCCAGGCACATATAGAGGTATACAACTGTAGTTCCAGGCTCTTAGGAGCCTAAGGTAGGATGATGCTTGAGGCCAGCCTTGAAAATATAGTGAGACCAGGTAGAGAGAGAAAGAGAGGGAGGAAGAAAGATCATAACTACAATATAATATTAATAACAAGTATTATCTAGACATGGTAGCATACTCCTGTAATCCCAGCACTATGGGAGGCTGAGGCAGGGGAATCACAAGTTTGGTACCAGTCTGGGCAACTTAGAGAGACCCTATCTCAAAAATGAAGGCCCAGAGTTCAATCCCCAGCACCACAAAAAGTAAGGAAAGAGGAGAAGGAGAAGAAGAGAAGAAGGAGAGAAAGACGACAATGGAGGCAGAAAGATCACAAGCTGAAGTTACACCTGGGCAATATAATGACTTAGTAAACCTTTGTCTCAAAAAAAAAAGTTCAGTGTGGAGGCCCTAGGTTCAATCCCCAACACCACAAAAAAGTCACATATTTATATTAATATATTTTAATGTTAATGTTATTAATACTGTGAATAATAATTGCTGGGGTTTTTTTAGTGCTTCCTCCATGCTAGACTCTATATTAATCTTTGCAGCAAAGAAATCTTCTCAAGAGGTCTGGCAATGTGGCTCAGTGGCACCATGCATGCCTGGCAAGTACAAGGTCCTGAGTTCAATCCCCAGTACTGCAAAAAAAGAAAAAGAAATCTTCTCAACCTAGATACTATCAACATCATTTTGCAGATAAAGGAACTGAGGCACAAAGAGTCTCGATAACAGGCCCAAAGCCACCCAGCAAGTAAACTGCAAAGCCAGGGCTTAAGTGAAGACTTGCTGAATCCCAACCCCATTTTCTCCCACACCCCCACTCCACTTACCAGCATCATCTTCCCAAGGTTCAGGCTTTATTCCCTGTTTTATAGAAGCAGCTGGGGCTCTGCTAAGCAACAACTGGTTAACTCAAAGATGCCTGTACCTCTTGATCCCACAAACCCACTTTCGGTAAACTATAGCACATGGGCATCGGCAGACATACACAAGAAAATCCACGGCAGGACTACTAGTAATAGTGAAGAACTGGAAATAGCCCAGTGCCTCTCAACAGGAACACAGATAAACAAAAGGTGTGTGTTCATACGATGGAATGGTGCCACACACAGAAAATGAGTGGCACTTGTCTTTGCGTGTCAACCAGGAACTTTTAACAAACATTGGGCTGAATGAAAAAGCAAGCATGCATCTTTCTGTAATAACAGGATACCGTTTATATAAAGTAATGAAACCTAAACTATAGTAAGTATTGTGTAGGTGTACATGTAGTCCAAAAACAGATATAGGAAGATTAAACACCAAACTTACCATGGCAATTACCTCAGGAGAAAGAGACAAAAAGGGACCAAAGAATGGTACAGAATGATCCCCAACTACACCTATGAAAATTGTTTTGTCTTATTTTTTGTGATACTAGGAATTGAACCCAGAGCTTTATTCATGCTAGGCAAGCACTCTGCCACTGCCCAGCCCTGTAATATAAATCTCTTCTAAAAGAAAAAAAGATGTGTGTTTGTGAGACTGTGTTAAAACGGCAATCCCACTGACTAGTAGTAGAAGTACACACTGGTTTGATCTAGGAGGAGGATAAATGGGCATCACAAATCAAGTCATGCACATACCTACAAAATTAGTCATACAGGACTATACATTATGGTATTGCTTATCAAAGCAAAGAATTGGAAATAATCTAAATATCAAGCATCTCTAAGAATAAAATGCAGGGATATGGAAAGATTTCTAAGGTACAGAAAACTTGGCACTAGGTGATACTGTGTGCAAAAAGTGAGGGCATGCAGGAGAAAGTGTGTGAGCTGGATGTACGTAAAATATCTCAGGAATGATATACATGAAACCCAGGGTTGATGGATGCCCGTGAGCAGAGTAACTTGGGGACAGAGAGGGAAGGAAACTTTTCACTAGAAACTTTCCATATATTTTTAAATTTTGGTCCATGTGAATATATAGCCTATTATTTTTAAGGATAAAATTTTAAACCTCTGAAGCGAGGCAAGGCTTTTAGATTGCCATTAAGAATCATGACAATAGGAAATGAAGCACAGGGCTGTGTCATCTGCTCCTCACGGGCCCTCCCAGCTTGCTGGCGGTGTACATAGATAACAGTCCCAAGCATGAGGACCTCTGTTCTGGCCCACACCAGCTCCCTCTGTGGCTTAGAGCTCCCATCACGCTATTAGGGGTCCCTTCCTATTCAGACATGCTGCCACTCCCCAGTCCTCAGAATTGCCACCTCTAAACAAATAGGATCAAGAGGCACCTGGAAAAGGGCACACCAGAATTTTGGACTGGCCCCTCACAAGGCCCCCAAATTCTGGCTTTTGTTTTGCCCAACAAAAGCCTGCTTGTACCACAACAGCAGCCTGTCAGTAATTACTCCCAATTACAAACCCAGAGCCCAGCTAGGCCTCAATTAGTCTATAAAGGGGCCTTGGAGAGGTTTGCTGCAGGAAGCGCAAAGCCCACAAGTGACCTCTACCCACAGGGTAGCACACTCTTCTCCATCACACCAGGATCCTAAAGATTCGGAAACTTGGTACCAAAGGGTCCTGAGAAGACTGTTGATGCTCTGACCCACAGTGACCATTACCTACAGAGCACAGGCAGGTACTCGTCTGGAAGTGCAGCTCCCCAGACTTCCTGCCCTCTACCTGGTCAGACCACACACACTCTCTCCACTTACCACTTTTCAGGACGAGGTTAGACATCTCCAAGCCATCCCCTCCTTCTAGGACAAAATGCACGTCTTTGGACAAAGGCTACAGAAAGATGCCCCAGGTGTTCTCTTGAAGCCCACTGTGGGTATGTTTCAGAGTGCTGAAGGAGGACCAAGTACCCATCTTTTCCCAGAGGAGGAAGATTTCTGGCTTTCCTGTTGTGTTGTCCAGAAACAGATTGGTCTCTTGACCAATCTTCTACAAATTTCTTGAGAATAATACCATCAGATTGCTGAGTCCAAGGTTTGGTAAGCTGTGAAGGTTTCACTGAGTTTAAGCTCACTCGTTTCTTCCCAGTGAGTGTGAACAGCTGTAGGGGAGAGATTCTGTGCATACACATGTGTGTGTCTGTACATTGCAAGCCCAAGTGTAAGAAGGAATCTGGAGAGGACTAATGAGTCTCATGACTTACATCAAGATTTGGTTGGAAGGAAGGAAGGACAGACTGACTTACTGAATTGGGAAGAACAAACAGAGGTGAAACTAGAAAGTCATGCTGCCACTGATTGGGGACTTCTGGCAAGTTACTCAATTTCTCTGAGCTTCCGTTTCCTCATCTGTAAAATGAGAATGGTATCACTTGCAAGCATTAAAATTGCAAGTTTGAGGCCATCCTGGGAAACCTAGCAAGGTCCTGTCTCAAAAATTAAAAAAATAAGAAAAATAAGAATGGCCCCAGAAGGAATGTGGATCAGCAGTAGAGTACAAAATAGGATGTATGGGACACTGGATTCAATCTTTGGGGGGAAATGCCTTTTATAAAAAGACATGCACAAAAATGTTGACAGCTGCTTTATTTATGATATTTCCAAACTGGAAACAAATGCCCATCAACAGGTGGGTGAGTAAAGAAATTATGTAATATTACAAAGCAACAAAAAGAAATGTCTGTCACAGTAAGATCAGTATTTTAAAAAACATGTTATGCAGAAGAAACAAGACACAAAAAACACCCACTATATGTCCCATATATATAAAGCTCAAAACAAAGTAAACTGATAGAAATCAGAATACAATTTGCTTTTGGGGACAAGCTTTGGCTGCCAAAAATATTAAGGAATCTCTTGAGCTGTCAAAAATATTCTGTATCTTGATCTAGGTCATAGTTACATAGTGCATTACATGTAAAAATATATCAGTCTTTACCCCTGAGAAGTATAATACTTACTGACTGTAAGTTACCCACATGCACACTTCTTGGTGTGCAGGAAATCTCATTAAGAAGGCCAGTAATACAAAACACAAGACATAGCCCTTCTCCCTCCCTTCCCTTGGACTTATTGAAGCTAGACCTCTAAGGCTGCCCTCCTGCACAGTAGCCCTTTTGACAGTGCCTACTTTGGGATGAGAAACTTGGGCCAGGGATGAGGACCAAGGGGAAGGGCTCTCCTGTGTCCTCCTGTGAGAGTGTGTAGGGCTTCAAGACTTTAGACAGCAGGCTCTCTGTTTCTATTGTCTACTTTGCTTCAGACAAATCCTCTCCATGGTCAGAGAACCAGAGAGTTGTCCTTGCCTAAGATTTCGCAGCATGGCTGTGTAGCTGCAAGGAGAAGGTAGCTCCACATGATAGAGGACTCCCAGAACCTGAGCTGACCTTCAGTGGTTCAGCCACTCTTCCACACCTGCAGTCTCTTTCTCAGAAATTTTCACACTTCTACAAATGGCATTTCCCAATTGTCCTGTGGAACAGAACCACCTTCTAGCTCTATGAGAAGCCCTGGTAGAGACCTTCTGGGAAGCATTGAGACCATGGGCACCGTCTCTGCCCATCAAGGCTTACAGTCTAGGTGTGGAGAAAGGTGACAAGGCAACTTTTTTTAACGCCTCATGTGTCACCAAATCCTCCCCTAAGAATATGCTTTTCCTGACAGACTGCTCCTCTCCCTGTGAAGTAGAAATATATTTTGCATGAACCTGCATTTATTCAAAATTAGAATTAAGGATAGACAAGATATAGTAGCTATCTTAAAATACACACTCCTAAGCAGTATTATTTTAAAAATCCTTTCACCCTGCCTACCTTCCTGCCCATAGCCTTCTCTTCTTCAGTCTGGAGACACTCTATCACAAGCTCTTCATATGCAAGGCAATTTGCCATGTCCTAGAGCCTTCAACATCATGTCCATGCACTGTGTACAGATGGTAGAACTTTTGAGGTGCAATGTTAAACTCTTAAAATAGTAGCCATGACATCAGTCAGCCCCAAACTGTACAAGGAATATGTACAGGGGGGAATTTGTTATATTTCCTAAAATGCATCACATTTCTAAGCAAAGGTTAGAGTCTAATAGCAAGGCATTTCCTGTTCAAGATTGAACAAAATGATTTTGGGCCATGAAAATTATAGGAGATATCAGAGGATGCCCCTCTAGAAATTCTCTTTCCTGGAGCATCCAAGAGACCTTTGGAGGGAAGAAGTCCTCAAAGCCCTCTGTCCTTCCTTCCTGAGTTAGCCTCAATTGAAAGAAAGACCTACTGCCCTAATAGAGGCAGGGCATATACTCCTGGGGAAAAAAGACCCAGGTGAACTTGTAACCCAACATCACATCAGTGAGGTAAGAAGGAACCAAAGCCTGGCACAGTGGCAGGTGCCTGTAGTCCCAGCTAACCCAGACTCTGAGGCAAGAGGATTACTCAAGCCCACAGCTACAAGACTAGCCTGGGCAACATAGCAAAATCCTATCTCAAACAAAACAAATTCAAGAAGAAACCCAGAGCTCTATCTTGCTGCCTTCTAGCCTAACCTGATACAGAACAGTGCAGAGGCTCAATAAGACACCTATCAGCTGGAAACAGCTCTCACAGCTGAGTTTCTCCACAGAATACTAGAGCAAGTGGTTTCTCCTTTTTCTCCATCTCTCCTTCTCTCTTCCACTCCACCTACTATCTCTAACTCTCTCTCCGAAACAAATATTTGGGAAAATAACTCTGTTAATCCAAGTCAGGCTGACTAACACATGCTGGCCTCAGCCCTGGCACTGTGTTGGGTGTGTGCAATTCCCATGGGCTGCAGCCTGCCAGTCTGAGCCTTCACAAGAGCTGCAAAACAAAGGGGAAGCCAGTGTGGACAGCATGCTCAGTGCCTGAGATTCAAGAAGAAATTGAGCAACCCTACCATGGAGAACTTGGAGGGGTGGGGGTGCACAGTCACTCTCCGAAGGCTGGGGGAATCAGACTTGCAAACAAGGAGCCAAGAGACTACTCTGAAGCACAAGATGGCCAGGCATACCAGTGTACAAAGAGGCCCAGAGTCCAGGCACCAGTTTGGCATCTCTTCCACCAAAATGTTCAGGATCGGAACTAGCACGTGTAACCAGTGAGTGTGAAAGACTTGTAGTGGAAGACCTGGAGAGGACTGGTTCCAAGTTGGCTGTGTGAAAGAACTGAATGGAAGAATGTGACCTGCACAGACTCCGTGCCCACAAGCTGTAGGGATGAGAGGGTGGGAAGGCTGCTAGGTGTCATAGTTGTTGAGATGTGGAAGAAGTATTAATAAACACACCTGAAGCTCCTTTTCTGACCAAGCGCCCCGCAGAGACTATACCCACAAACACCGGGCTACAGACCTCTCCTTGCAAAAGGGCAGGAAGCTAAGGAGTGTTTCAGCAGCAACCTCTCCTCCAAGAAAGGGGACTGTGGGACCTGGCTCAGCCGGGTGGGCGGAGCGACATGGGGAAGACTGTCTGCCTTGAAGCCCTGAGCTACCCGCTGGCCAAACCTGTTGCCTTCTGCCGCTGCTGCAGGATTACCTGGCGGAGAGAAATTGCTGGCTTCATCAGGGCCAAGTGAATTGCTGGTGCCAGCTGTCCGTGCCGCCCATGCGGGGCCAGTCTTCCGGGAGGCTTGGACAGTGAAGGGCGTGCTCTTCCAAGGGTCCCTGGAGCTCTTCTGTGGGTCCCTGGCACAGCGCGCACGCAGGCGATGGGCAGGAGGTGCCCTGGACTCCGGAGTTGTAGCTGAGGGTTCCCGGAAAGCCGGGGCTGCCCAGGCCCCACGCTGTGAATTCCACTAGGCTCAGGGCCTTGGCCCCTGGAGGTGGGGCCGCCCTGGACCCTGGTCACCCAAGCTGCAGAGAAATAATGGTCCTGGGCCCAAGTGCATTGCCAGAGAGTATTCTGACCTCTCCAAGAAGCAGGACCTACCCAGCCTGCCTAAGGGAGTTGAGAAGTAAACCAAAGCAGCTACCCAGCCGCAGCCACATACAGGAGCGCCTGCCTCACTCACCTCAGGCTGAACCAAAGCACGGACAACAAGACTCTGTCCTCCACTAAGTCTCTTCCAGTGTCAAGCCCCTTGCTCCTTCCCCAGAGGATGGAACAGCCCTGGAGACAATCACCGTGTCACCTGTTTTCCCAGCCTTCCAGTGCCCAACTGCCATGTGGACACACAACGTGGAGACAGACAAATTCCAGCCCCTCCTAGTGTTCGTGGCTGGAGGCACTCCATCTCCATTCAGGTCGGGGGTTTTGTTCCTAGAAAGATCAGCCAGAAGTCAACACCTGGTAGAGCAGGACTCCTCATTTTGCCACTCCTTTAGAGGGATTCTTTCCTTTACCCCCACCCCCTCTGCAGGCACACAAACGCCTTAAAGCCTGAAAAGGGAGCTGAGTATGGAATTCGGGGAAGTGATGACACACACAACAATGCTGTTACACCTGGCTGCTGTGGAGCTGAGCGGCGGAAATGCCGGGGAGGAGAGAGGGGGAAACAGAAAGCCAGCCTGGGTGGCCAGAAAAAAAGAGGGAAAAAGAGAGAGCAGCCCCCACCAGGATAAGGCCAGACCCAGCTGCCCACCCACCACACACACACGCAGGCCGCAGGCCGGAGGAGCCAATCTGCAACAGCCCCAAACCTGACTCACCACTCCTACCCATAGCCTGGGCGCACACAGGAGAGAAGAAGAAAAACACCTGCACTCCTGCTCAGAAAGCAAGTGCATGGATTTTGGGGATGTGCTGCTCCTTGCGTGTGGATGCTTGGAGCAGGTTGGTGGGGGAGACTACCTTGAGATGTTTTCAATAAGGGGTGGAGGCCAGTACCTAGTGAGGAGAGTTTAGAAGAGCTTAGCTCCCTCTCATCCTGGTGGTCAGGCCAGGGTTGGTTGCCCTGCTGACCTCTCTGGAGTCATCTTCAAAATACTGAATTCCAGAGCGCCCCAGCACTCTGTCCTCCCTTCCTTTCATCTCGGAATGTGGATCAGAGGCACATTCAGAGAAGGGAGCAGACAGCAAATGTCAGTGGCCTATGGATTGTGGAGCCACAGGCCACTGGGGGATCCTCAGGCTTCCAGAGAATGTTCAGAGACTGAGCAGCCTGGGAGGAAGAGCAATGACAGGCATTGAGCTAGCCACTCCAGACATGCCAATCACTAAGGCACATCTGCATGACATGCATTCAGGCCACCTTCCTCTGCAAAGCATCACGGCCCCCTCTTCAAAACCTACAAGTGTGGGGACTCGAGGATTCAAAACACCAGCCACCTCTCTCACACTTTATGATTGCAAACTTATTATTAAGGCTAGGTGAAAAAGAATACTGTTAGAAGGCACACCTGATTTTGATGCCAGCATAGATCTCGGCAATATGCTGGTGTAATCAGGTCCCAATCAGACTTCTGCTGAAGGTAGATCAGAACTCACTCCTGGACCTTTGGAGAAAGTCAGACAAAAATGTCTCATCTGGAGAGAGAGTTGAACAGCCTGTTGTTTTTTCTTCCAACTCTACAACAGAATTGTATACATTGAGCAGGAAAATGGCAGGTATGAATTGTGAAAGATAGAATGAAAGGGGGGAAAGGAGAGACAATGCCATAGCCATGAAACCACACGTACCTTGATATGGGATACACATACATACCTACAAGTATGAATGTGTTATACCTCATAAATGTAAATCTCACAGCTTGTACATGTGCATATCCGTGTTTCTGACACAGCTGGCACGCTTGCGCCTAGACAGCGGGTAGCTCACCCTTCTCAAGGCCAGCTCCTCTCAATGTCTTCCATATGTGACACCTGTGCACACACGTATGGAGTCCCCAAAGCCCAATAATATCCCCATCTATGTGGGCGCCAGTGCTGGAGCAGAGGGGAGTCTACTTGGTGTTGTTAAAGCACACACACACCCGGGAAGGCTACCACACGGAGGGCTCTGGTTCAGAGGCTGTTTAGGTGGGCGGCCCTAAGGGCCTCTTCCCAGCGAATCTCTTCTTCTGGCCCAGTCACCCTGAGAGCGGGACAGGCAGGCTGAAATTTTTTTAATGTCTGGCGTTTCTGGGCTAGTTTCCCCCAGAGCCACCGCAAAGCTCTCCCCACATCACCCCAGTGAGGCCCCCTGGCTGTCTTGCACCTCCCCCGGACCCAAGCAAGATGTTTAGCCCCAGGACTTCAGCAAAGGGCAGAGCGAAAGAGTTGTTTTCTTTCACCTGAAAGCTGTGAGGAGGCGTAGAGAGCCTCTCCTCGCTGGGGCCCGAGCTCCCGGGGCACTGGGCCGGCACCGGAGGCCCCCTCCGGGGCCCAAGGCATCTCTGGGCCCAGTCCGCAGAGCAAGCACCGGCAGATTCCAAGGGCTCGTGAGAGCGTGAGCCCGGCTGTCTGCTGGGCCCCCGAGGCTCGCCGAGCGGGGGCAGACCGGTCCGGGCTGTGCGGGGCGTTTACAAAAACTGACTTGGAGATGAACTCGCCCGTGCGCGGCTGGCTGCCCCGCTATAGGGGCGAAGGCGCCTGACGCAAGCGGAACTCGGCGGAGCCCATACGAATCAGAACACAGCGAGGCTCCTGGCGCACTAGGGACTCCAGGAGGCAGCTCCGCCAGAGACGCGGGTCGTGGCTCGGGAAACCGGGGGTGGGGGAGGGGAAGCGCAGAAAAGAAAACCCACCGGGCGGGGACTGACCCGGCAGGGAGGGGCGGCGGGGCCGGAGCCCCTCTCCGTTGGGCAGACTCCCCATGGCTAGAGGCTGAGTTCCACTCCCGCCAGCTGCTCCCCAGGGGAAGAGAAAGAAGAGCGCGATCTGCTGGCTGCTGGCCCCGGACACTGGCCGCGCAGTCAAGGAGCCCGAGGCGCCGCCGCCAAGTCCAGGCAAGGGCGGCGGAGGGACAGCCTCGGAGAAGCCTGACCCGGCACAGAAGCCCCCGTACTCGTACGTGGCGCTCATCGCCATGGCGATCCGCGAGAGCGCTGAGAAGAGGCTCACGCTGTCTGGCATCTACCAGTATATCTGCTGGCCCCGGACACTGGCCGCGCAGTCAAGGAGCCCGAGGCGCCGCCGCCAAGTCCAGGCAAGGGCGGCGGAGGGACAGCCTCGGAGAAGCCTGACCCGGCACAGAAGCCCCCGTACTCGTACGTGGCGCTCATCGCCATGGCGATCCGCGAGAGCGCTGAGAAGAGGCTCACGCTGTCTGGCATCTACCAGTATATCATCGCCAAGTTCCCGTTCTATGAGAAGAACAAGAAAGGCTGGCAGAACAGCATCCGACACAACCTCAGCCTCAACGAGTGCTTCATCAAGGTGCCGCGCGAGGGCGGCGGCGAGCGCAAGGGCAACTACTGGACGCTGGACCCGGCCTGCGAG